ATTGATTGATCCATTAATGGATTGTTAAAGTCATTTTTTGGTGTTATACATGAATAACACGGCATTTTACAGTTAGCCGAATTAAATATCAACATTATAATGTGGTGTTCAGGCAGATCTCTAAGTAATTCGGATAGAAATGGATAATACCACAACATGCCATCATTAGTACGTAAATCAATACCTCCCATTGACCCTGATTTGATAGGTTCGATGAGAACTTTCATTGAGTGTTGAAAAAGGTAAAGTTTTGCCATGGTAAAGTCTGACTGTTTTTTATATTCTTCATTTATCTTGATTCTAGGTAAATATACCAATAAAACCTTCGCATCTGATTTACTTCGACGCCAATTCGGGATGTTGCCTAATGTTAGATATATTGGATGTTCTGATGTCTTTCCGAGTATATCACATGTTGTAGCATCTGAATAGAGGATTATAGAAAGCACCTTAGCACCTTCACCGATCGATACCTGAGTCTGACCCCACCACTCACTATCGTATTGTTCTTTGTAACACCTCTCATTTTCACCCCTATCATTTGTTATATAATTCGGCATGTAATCGAATACGCAGTATTTGAATATATCTACATTACTTAACAATTTTTTGATGGTTTGTAAATTGTTCGATGATAAAGTGTATATTGTATTTAATTGTACTCCATGATGATTATTTTTCTATAGAGAATGTGGAGAATTTGAATAGAATCTAACAATTTTCAGGCTGATTTAGCATTTGAAGGTAAAATTGCTGCTAGATCCATATGAAAGGTATTGAATAGACGAATAATGTCATTTGCTACAGAATCGGAAGGCGATGTTAGATAAGCAGTTGTACAAATGCTTCATATGTTGGATTCGGAAATAATGGTATTGTATTATTTGTTTCTTGAATTTTTTGAGCTGACCTAACGTTTACAATGGTCGAAATAGATGGACTTTCGTCTTCTGTAAGCTATAACAGAATATAATTATGCACCTGATTCTCAACGAGGGCCTCGTCTTCTCCATTCTCATTTCTTCGCCATGAATTTCACTTCGATTTTCTTCATCTTCATCCTTATTTACTTCACCATCAATTTCACTTCAATATTCTTCTTCATTTGTATTACCATCGAAAATAACTTCATCCTATAATTCATATTATGTTGTTAGTTATTTATTGCAATATACGAAATATGAAAAATACGTATTATGACAAAATTTACATAACTTGTTCAATGTAACATTGATTATCTTCCTCTGATGTATCTTCCTCTGATAGATTCGTAAGGTAATTAGTTAGAATAGGCGTTAAAACGTTTTCTTGGAAGATATTTCTAATGGTAGTTGGCGTAATCTCATCCGTATCAACACTAATATTGCGAGAGAGTTTATTTTTATCTAGATACATCTGGTCTCAATGTGATCGAAGATGGTTTCGAAAAGCATCACATCTACTAAATAACTGCGAACAATAATCACATTGAAATATATTTTTATTTTTCGTTGAAATATTTGTTGATGTTTTTTCATAATTGTTGGTGAGAACAAACGATTTTCATCAGATTATATAATGATTTTCACATGATAGATGTATGGTCCTCTATACGTACGGACTCAAAATGAGTTAATTTTATTTATCATGTGATTCTTATCCAAGTAGTCGATTTTAATAATAACGACTTATATAAATACTTTAATTAATACAAAAAATATACTTTATTAATCAAACTTTTTTTACAGAAAATATATTTCACTTAGTAAATAGTTGGATTTATCTGCAATAAATTATTTAATCATTTGGAGTTTTGTCTTTACTAAACTCAAATTTTCGTCCAAAATATTTTTTTATTTTAACGTTTATACCATGTCACCTTCTACCCAACATAACATCAAGAAAATCGCAATACCTGAAGAGAACCCTTTAAACGATACTCTTGCAGCGCTTGCACCTATTAGAATCACTCGTTAGCTTCGTTCCGCCTCTCATTCCAATCCACTTAGAGCTAGCACTTCTCAACCAAATAAGTCAAATTCTAAGATGATGAACGGGATATAAGTTAGACAAACATGATATTATATTTTTAAGTATAAAGAAGATAAGCGAATATTGGATGACTACAAAGATTAATATTCTATGAACTTTATTCATTATTGCTAAGATATAATTTTTGAAAGCTATTTATATCATTATCAGTGGTCATTATGACTAACGGATTTTTCTATTAAAAAGGATGGCAATGGACATAAGAAATATAGAATGCAGCATGACTCTAGACTTTCCGAGCTCTCTGAACCCTCTGAACTCCAATTGAAGGCCGTAGAAATTACAGTATCATCTCCAAAAAAATTATCGGCTAAAGCAAGAGAAGATTTCAATGTAGGAACTTCAAAAATTGATACGACCAAGAAAAGTCACAGGTTGAACCCTTTGCCTATGGTTAATAAAACTTATGGATCGAAGATAATGTTGAATAACATTAATGCATATTTAGTTTTCATATGTGGTCTGATTGATATTACATTATGTTCTATATTTATTGATTATTTCAGGATAATATCAACACAACGAATAAACACTGTGAATCAACGATCGAAGAGCAAGGTTACAAGCAGAGGAGTGATGTCGATATCAATGATATAGCAAAATGTTAGTATGGTGTAATCTAATTTATTGCATATTCTTCGCAGGCGCTCAAAAACTTATAAAAGCTTGGCGTAAAGAGGATTTTTCTAGAGTGATGCAACAACTAAGCCTATACAAATTATAGACATATTAATAATAATAAAACTCATCACAAAATTTTGACTGATGCTCGGAAAATGATTCAGATATCTGGACAAACTATTGGATATTTCCGATATAACAAAATTTAAGCATTCACATTTACTAATGTGCTATGCTTTTTGGCAAGGAATATTGACATAATTATTTTTTCAGAAGACAGGATGCACATTTACATTTGCTTTACTTTTTACATGGTTGACAAAATTATACAATATCACATATCTTTATAGATTCAAAAGGCTTATGTTAATGGATCATATTTTCTCTATGATATACTGTAGTACCTAGGCTTAATGAGAAAGATGCTATCATATTGAATAAGGCTATGCAATATTCCCAGAAGGCATTTGATGAAGCTCTCGCAACTAAGGAAACGGTACTTCGTATTGAGGCTATTATAAACGAATTTATAAAAGAACAAAAGGCATCCAAAGATCTCGATATGGAATCGAATGAATGTTCTATGGATTATAAAAAGATGTCTGGTAAAAACACATGAAAGAAATCATTTTGGTATAATGTAAGTATGATTATATTTTGATTACTTGTTTTAAAATCCATTTTTCTTATTTATTATACTTATCTATTTAGCAGACTTTGACTAAGGCGTGCTTCGAACTTTTCCAAAAAGATAAAAATCCTACTGATGATATTATGTGTGATACTATTTATAATGCTTTGGTTGAGGAACATCCTGATGAAATCACAAAAATTGAATGTGCTAAGGGCGGTTGGAGCAAGTATTGAACAGAAGTACTTCAATCAACGGTATATTTTTTTAACCGATGATGATATTCATAAATTATAATAAAATTGTAATACTAATAATAATAATGAATTATAGGCTTGTGGTGAATTTCATGTTAAGCGTGCTAATTATATCCAAAATATCAAGAATGCAGTAATCAATGTCTTTGGTAAGGCTTTTATTGGAGATTTTCCCGGTCACAAGGCAACAACTGAAGAAGTTTTAACATGAAAAGCTACACAAAATGTAAAATGGGCGAATGATCACCTTTGGAGTGAAGTAGATCTGAATAATAACAATTCACACAATACTTATATAAATCATATTATTAAAGATGTGTTGAAAATAAATGAACGTACTGCTGATAACTGTGCATTTGTTATTGCTATTATTGATCTCA